CCTTATTAAAGGAGCGCTCGGTACCAGTCCTCTCCGTAAACAAGAGTCACCAAATCCCAGCTGATTTATCTTCTCCAAGCAATGGAAATGGTTCAACAGCACCTCATTGCCTACATTAAGATCACGTCACCACTCCCTTTGGATACACCCCCAACACTGCCTGTGGTTCCAATTTGCAGCTGATGATGAGTCTGGAGGGAGGGACAAAAGGGATCCAGATGCTAATTAGTAAAGGAACCTCATGCAAAATACACCCAGAGTCTAACCAGCTGAAACAGCATAGCTTGCCATTGAAAGTGCCATTTGATAAGCTTTCCCGCTGCTTGTTCTACTAGGACCACCCTACCCGTTAGGGCTTTGGTTTGCAGGGTTAACAGGGGCTGAGTGGGATGACTCCTTACCCCCAGGCACTGGTCTGCTCCTACTGATGAGCCAGGCTGGCTGGTCTGTCATCATCCAGTGCTCTCGAGTGTTGTGGACCCGCCTGGCTCAGGAACAGGGCTCACCAGAGTATTGACTGGATTGTGACGTTCCACCGTTAAACACGCACCTTAACACCAGCTCAACTCCAAGGAGATGCTGCTTCCACCCACCACCCACCAACCCCCTGTCCCCCGTCCCATCCTCAGGAATGTCACTAGATGGTTAACTTTTCATGTTCCTTTCCTCTGGAACTCTCTCCTAAAGCCAACTGGTCTTGCTACCTCTCTCTCTCTCTCTTTCTCTCATAGAGAGAAATCTAAAACAAAATCATGTGGTCAGCATCTTTAAGACGTCTCGAAGACGTGATAAGGCACTATATCAAATTCAGGGAATAATATTATTATTATCTTTAAGTCTCACGTTTCCTTGTTCCCTGGACCACCGAGACTACTAGAGTGTTGACTTGATTCCGACATTCTGTTGCCAAGTCATCTTGAGCCATCTCAGCTCCAAAGAGATAATAATTATAATAATAAAAAAAATTTGGAAGGACTTCTCAAAGTGCTTCACAGGACTTACTGTGAAACGGAGTGACGGTGTAGTTGTCGGGCAAATGCAGCAGCACAATCGCTAACAACAATGTCCCTGCAAACAGCCAGGAAACACTTGACCAATTTTATTTGGGAGCGCTACCAACTGAGGCGGGCTGACGTCCCTTCAGTGTCAGAAATGATCAAGATTTCGCGCTGATTGAGGGACGGGGGCGACTAAAAGAAACTAGACACAGAAAAAAGTTTTATTCCGATTTTTGTGGAGCGCTCTGTGTGAAACAAGGACATAGAAGGTTGACTGCACAGAAAAAACACAGTGCAATTGAATCAACAAGATATCGAGCTCCAAGCCTCGGGTATTACGTTGTTCCCATGTTGTCTTGCTCTAGCCATGTCATAATATTTCAACAAAAAAGCTTCTTTCCCCCAAAAAATTATAGTGTCGGCCAGGCTCAGTTGGTAACACTCTCGCCTCTGAGATAGAAACTTGTGGGTTCAAACCCCAGGTCAGGATTTGGAACTGGTATAGTCTCTTTCGGATGAGATGTTAAACCAAGTCCCGACGGTTGTTTATGTGGACGTTAAAGATCCCATGGCACTATTCGAAAAGAGAAGGGGTTTCTCTCTCCCGGTGTCCTGGCCAACAATCCCAATATCGTGGCTGTTTGTGGGTCATTACTGTGCACAACGTCACTGCGCTTTGCAACATATCCTGTGAAGAGCTTTTAAGACGTCCTCCAGACACGAAAGGCGCTGTATCAAATGCAAGGATTATGATTTTTCTGATCATATTAAAACGGTTTCCCGGCCGACAATCCCACTGATAAAATGTACCCCGTCTTGTGTAAAAAATGCAAGTTCCTCCCAAGTTTCTTTCCGTTCTTGGGCTCTGTTCGGGGGTTCTGTGAAGCGTTCTTTTTATTTCACGCGTGAAATAGATGTTAAAACTCTTCAAAATTGCCATCTGTTTTCTGGGAAGTTTCATTTCCCGCTCCCGCCCCCCCCCCCCCCCCCCCCCGCCCTACCTCCTGTTCCCGTGTTTCATTTGTCATTTCACATGCCCAGCGCCTGCCTGTCCCGTTTTTATTGTGTCGTTCTTTTACACACCGTATAATATTTTCCCGCAATTGCATCCTCATTGTCTGGATTTCAAGAGGAAGTGCAGAGTGTCTCTGCTCAGACAGCTGTCTCAGTGTAAGTGATGTTCAGGAGGCGACTGTGTCTTTAGATACATATGCATCAGCTGCACAGAGCTGCTTGCGCAGAGGCTCAGAGAGAGGAGGTGAGTGCGTGTAATAATAATCCTCGCATTTTGATATTGCGCCCTATCAGTGTCCCACAGGCAGTCATGGATTTCTTTTTGGAGGGATTATTAACTCCCGGAAAGCGATCTCCACAAAATATACAGTCAATTCACTTTAGTATATCCTGTCAAGCACTTTGAAACGTCTCGAAGACGTGAGACGGCGCTGTATCAGATACAACCATTGTGGAGTCCTGTAGCTCAGTGGTTAGAGCACTCGCTTTGCAAGTGAGAGACCTGAGTTCAATTCCAGGCAGAGGGCGAAACCTTGGGCAAGTTTCCTTACTCCACACAGAGCCTAATAATAATCCCTCCAAAACCAAAAACAATAATAAATTGGTCATTTTCAATCTACGACTGTTTATGGGACATTGCTGTGCGCAACTGGCTGCCGCGTTCGCCCACAAATATACAGTCAATTCACTTTACAGTGTGTTCTGTGAAGCGCTTTGGGACGTCCTCCCGACGTGAAAAGCGCTATATCAAATGCAAGGATTATTATTATTATTATTATCTTGAGGATTATTATTAGTATTGCCAATCAACTAACAACCAGGTTACTACTTACTGATAGATAAACAGAGGCGTGTGGGGTAAGAAAATTGTTCTAAACACTATGCTACAGGACTCCACAAGTATAAAATTGTTGACTCGAGTCTTTTAAAAAAAAATAATTCTGGCATTTGATATAGCACCTTATCATATCGTCGATACGTCTCAAAGCACTTCAGAGAATGAACCGTGAAATCAATTGACTATATTTTACAGCCATTTGCACACAGCAGTGTCCCACAAACAGTTGTGGATTGAGTGACCAAATGATTTATTTATGTGAAGGGATTATTACCCCCGGAAAGCGATCCACCAATCGACCAACAACCGGGTTCCTATTCACCTCGAGGTAAACAGAGGCGTGTGTGTGGAGTAAGAAATTTAGGTTTCGCCCTCCCCGGGACTGTGTGTGTGGGCGAGTGGGTGGATGGAAGAATGTAATCTGACCTCTGGAAATTCGTGCAAAAATAATCGTTGAGGTTGAAAAATATCACCATAAACTGCAGACGCACAGCACTGTAAATATTACAGGTTTTTTTTTATTCGTTCAGGAGATCTGCAGGAAGATGGCTTACTGCCAATTTAATCCAGCGGGACGTGATGACGAATAGTTTTGGGGGCACAGCGGAGAATACGAGATGTTTTAAAAAGTTTTTTTTAGGCGTTTTTTATTTGTTCGATCTGAAGTTTTAACCAGGTAAAGCCGTTCAGCTTCTCACTGAGGGCACTGCCTGGCAACCTTTCCGACTGCTCGTCCAGCCGGGACCACCCTATTTGTGAGGGCTTTGGTTTGCGAGGTTAACGGGAGCTGAGTGAGAGGACCCCCGGCCCCCAGTGACTGGTCTGCCCTTCCAGGTCCTGCCGATGGGCCAGACTGGGCTGTGCTGTCACCAGCCGTGCCCTGGAATACTGTGAACCCACCTCGGGAGCCGTACGAGAGACTGGCACAGAGGGCTGGCGAGATTCTGACATTCGATTGCCAGGCATGTCATGAAACCACACCTCCCCCACAAGGAGAAACCGCTTATGTCCCCCTCCCACCCACAACCCCTTCCCCCACCAAAGGAGGACGGTTGGTATGACAGGAGGAACGTGCTGTATGAAAAGTATTCAGTCACCTGCAACTTCCTGTTAGGAAACTCGTACGGTTTCACTGATTCAATATGCGATAAACCTTTACACTAAGAAAAGTGACTCACTTTAGGAAAGTGTCTCGGTGAGTAATTACAGCTCCGGCTTTGAGGGACCAGATTATGACTGAGGACAACACCAACAACAACTTGCAATTATACAATTATACAGCAATTATACATGCAGGATAGCGTCCCAGAGCCCTGCACGGTGATGGGCTGGGTTGGGCGCCTAGCGAGGGAGGGGGGAGGTGACCGTAGGTGCAGTGGAAGCGGTCATTCTAAAAGAGGGACCTGGGCAGGTCTGTGTCCACTGAGCAAAGGGGGAAGAGGATTGTGGGTTCAAGCCCCATGCCAGGATTTTGACCACACTTAGTCCAGGCTGATGTTCAGTGCAGTGCTGGGGGAGTGCTGCATTGACAGAGGCTCCGTCCTTCGGATGAGCCGTTAACCCAAAGTCCCGTCTATGGACGTTAAAGATCCCACGACGCTGTTCGACAAGAGAAGGGAGTTTCTCCCGGTGTCCTGGGCAATAATCCCCCATATTTTAAAGAAAGCGTCCTTCCCTTCATGGCTGTTTGTGGGACATTGTGCGGTGCAAATTGACTGCTGCGTTTACTCCAAAAACATACAAAGTCACGGCACTTTACAACATATCCTGTGAAGCACATTGCTACGTCCTCCCAATGTCAAACAACAGCAACAACTTGGATTTATATAGCGTCCTTCCTGTGGGGCAGCATCTTGGAGCAAGGTGAGAGAGGTGGGTGGGTGGTGGTGGGCTGGGGTGGAGTGGGTGGGTGCCCGGGCATATCAAATCCAAGGATTGTTGTATTTTTGCCCAGTGGAGCACTAGGAATACAGACCATACAGAAGGTTGCACGTTCATGGGGATGTGGGAAACAGTGTTGAAAAGCGGGATTGATTTTAAATAAAGGGGGCAATTTTGTTAACATAAAAGGTTAGCGCCACTTCCACATACCCCGTGTTACAGCGCTATTTGATTCATTGCATTGAGCTGATTGTCTTTTCTTCCTGCAG